CTAGAGAATCTTCTTAGAGTGAAGGACTAGGTTGGTTCTACTTGTGGATGGCTAAATATCGCTAGATACTTCTTACACCGCGCGACCAATCTATCTACTTTCTGACGAATGAATGCCATCTAGAAAGACATGAGCTATTCAAGGTCTCGAGTGATGCTCTGGAATGATGGCCGATGCAATTTAATCAAAAAATGACCGGCAAGTTAAAGCATTTAAATCTTCTGGGTAGCTCAAAGGCCGCGAGTTAAGAACCAGCATCAATTTGTGTAAGTAAGGTAGTCATCTCCTCATAGTAAAGAGTGTATCGCCGAGAACTCGTTTAAGGTTGTTCACGAACGCGCTGCGAGAGAAAGGATCGCGCTGCACGAAAGGATGAGTCACCTTTTTGTAAAACAATGACTTTAATAATATCACACACGTATTGACAAAAATACTAAAACAAACTTATTACAAAACTTTAATTATTTTACAGTGAAATCGGAATCAAAATCAAAGTGCGGAATAGCGGCGGTCGTCAACGAATTTTTGCGGTGTATCTGATAAGCGGTTTGCGATATGTTTTCACGACGGAAAAGCGATAAAGGCCCTGATTTCGGGTGCGAGCTCTCTTTTATGGGTTTCCGCAAAAAACCCACCTTTTCGGGAAGCGCCAATAATTTTGCGTCTTTTTAAAGTTGCGCGAGGTGACCTGAGCGTATTACGCGTAATTGGCCGCTGTCAAAATTGACAGAACAACGGCTGTTAGAAAGCATGCGCGAGCTGGCGATCACGATGATTATTGGCGAAACGAGGCGCCCGTGAGAAGCCGCGCATGCTCAACAAAATATAATTATTCGGCGGAGCGGTTGCGACACCGTTAATTGTTTATATTTCGAGCGTGTTTTTGTACGACAGGATAATTTATGTCGCGATATGTTTTCCAAAAAAAAACATATAAAAACGATATGCCTGTTGACTTGCGATCGGAAGCGAATATTCTAGAATATTCTAATTAAGATATAATATTTTATTAAACATGTAGTTTTCTATTATGCGTTTCAAACATTCCCGCCCGCCTTGTCGCGCAGTGACAACATGTTTATGTTATTTCGGTCGCGGAATCGCAAGTCGATAGTGATCGATGGTGGGGCAGGCGCGCCGGCGCGGCGAGATTCACGTGATGATCGCGTGTAATTTGAATCAGCTGAGCCGCGGAAACACGTGGTGATAGCGTGGAATGTGATGATCAGCTGAGACAGTAACGAGTGTGTGGTTGATGTGAAATGACGAACGTGTAGTGCAGTGTGGTGATTATGGAACCATTGCAAGTGAGGTGGTGCATGATGAGAATGAGGTGTGACAAATGATACAGTGTATGATGTGATAAATCTCGTGAGTGAGTGTCGAACGTTGATGAGTGATGTGTTACGTGCCGGCGGACGGCGTGTCCGCGTTATTCGTGTCCGGAATACGATCCGCGCCCGGGAGCATGACCAATTTAACGATCGGGCGTACGAATTCGGATGTGGCGGTGCGTACTGAGACCACGCGGACGACACCGTCGTCCCCGGGATGCAGTCTCGTGATCCTTGCAAGAGGCCATCGAGTAGGAGGGGTGAGCTCCGAGCGGATGATGCAAAGGTCTCCGACGTGAGGTGCGGCCTCGGCCTTGACCCATTTAGTGCGGGGGTTGAGCCCGTGCACGTACTCAGCCGACCACCGCTGCCAAAAATGGTCTCGCATCAGCTGCAGGTGATGCCAGCGTGACAGCGTGGATGATGATTGTCCGATCCGTGACGGCTCAGGTATAGCTAATAGAGGCGCGCCGATGATAAAGTGCCCTGGAGTGAGTGCTGAAGTGTCGTCTGGGTCGTCCGACAGAGCCTGCAACGGACGAGAATTAAGACACGCCTCGATTTGTGTGAGGAGTGTGTTAAGCTCCTCAAAAGTGAGCGTGGTGTCGCCGATTACTCGGCGGAGGTGAAATTTAGTGGATTTCACGGCAGCCTCCCAAAGACCACCAAAGTGAGGGGCCGCTGGCGGATTAAAATGCCAGCGGATCCCTTGAGTGTTGGCGGCGCGGGCGATGTGAAGGCCCTCGGAGGTCGACGCCTTGAAGAGCTCCCGCAGGGTGCGATCGGCGCCAACGAATGTTGTGCCGCAGTCGCTGTAGACGTCCGTACACAGTCCTCTGCGAGAGACGAAGCGGCGTAAGGCGGCGATGAAGGCCTCGGAGCTGTAATCCGAGACGACCTCGAGATGGATGGCCTTCGACCAAAAGCAGACGAAGACCGCGATGTATCCTTTCTGTGAGCGGTGTCCGCGTCCCTTGCTGGTCCGGATGGAAATTGGTCCCGCGTAGTCCAGTCCAGTGCTCAAGAAAGGTCGAGTTGGCGTCACTCGGTCCCGAGGAAGGTGGCCCATTGGAGGCTGTGGCGTGGCAGCGCGCCAGCGAGTGCAAGTGACGCACCGATGCAGTTGCTGCTTGACGACGGTCCTTCCGCGTGGTACCCAGAACCGAAGGCGAAGCAGACCGAGTGTCATCTGGACGCCGCCGTGCAGAGAGCGACGATGGCAGGACTCAATCAGCAGTCGCGTCATCCAGGAGGCCGGCGGTATGATCACCGGGTGCTTCTCGTCGTAGGGCAGCAGTGCGTGTTTGAGGCGTCCTCCAACGCGCAGTACACCGTGGTCGTCGATGAACGGATTCAGCTTGATCAGTGAACTGCGTGGTGGGCCGGAGCGTCCTGCGGCGGCAGCAGCTATCTCGTCCGGGAAGTGGAGCGCCTGTACTACTCGAAGCCACTGGAGTAGGGCGGCGTCCAGCTCGTCGGGGTGTAGTGGACAACCAGGTGTGACCTCCCGGCTCGCCACGTTGAGCCATCGCCGACACCAAGCCGTAACGCGTAGCAGTCGATGAAGCGCAGAGAACCGAAGGAGGATGTCCGGTTCGACGACGACGGAGCCCTTGGTCATCAGGCTGGTGGTGCGCTGTTCAGGAAGGTCATCCTCTGCGATGTGGACCTCTGAGCTGGGCCATGCTGTCTCGTCCAGTGCCAACCAGGTAGGTCCAGTCCACCATAATGCGTGGTTGATTAATTCTCCAGGAGTAATTCCTCTCGATGCGCAGTCTGCAGGATTATTCTTCCCGGCTACGTGTCTCCATCGAGCGTCCGGGAGCTGTGTCTGGATATGAGCTACCCGGTTGGCGACGAAAGTTTTCCAGCGAGTGGCGTGTCCCTGGATCCAATGAAGCGTGACCTGGGAATCGGACCACAGATATACTGGAGTAGTTGCCAAGCCGAGAATGTCGCGGACATGCAGCGTGAGCGTGGTGAGTAGGCTAGCAGCGCACAACTCAAGTCGCGGCAACGAAACCTGCTTGACGGGTGCGACCTTGGATTTCGCCATGAGTAGATTAATTGACGATTTTCCCCTTTCAGTGGTGCGGAGGTAGACTACTGCGGCGTATCCTCGTTCGGAAGCATCAGCAAAACCGTGGAGCTGCAACCTCGAGTGATCGTTGTCGGTGTTGAGCCAGCGATTCACGCGTATGTGCCTGAGCAGCGGCAACTGATCCAACAGCTGTTGCCAATGTCGAGCATCCTTGGCCGGCAGTGGAGCGTCCCAATCAAGTTGCTGAAGCCAGGTGCTTTGGATTAAGATCTTCGCCCGAATGACGACAGGCGCGAGCCAGCCCATCGGGTCAAATAGGCGTGCAGTTTCGGAGAGGACTCGTCGCTTCGTGAATTTGCTGACTGGCCGAGGATGTATTGCGAAGGCAAACCGGTCATCTTGAGGACGCCATCGCAGGCCCAATGTCGAATGGCTCTCTCCTTCCCAGGAATGTGGTCCTTGCTGCAGCCGATGCTCCTGTGGGACTCCTGTGAGGACCTCTGGATGGTTCGAGGCCCACTTCCTCAGTGGAAATCCGCCCGCCATGCAGAGGTTGCGCAGCTCCGTCTGGAGGTTGACGGCATCGTCGAGGTTGTCCGCGCCGGTGACCACGTCGTCGACGTAGCAATCAAGCCGAAGTACTGTGGCACCTTGAGGAAACTGCGCTCCCTCGTCCGTACAAAGTTGTTGCAGAGTTCGGATGGCCAGGAACGGTGCACACGCCATGCCGTAGGTCACCGTCTGCAGCTCGTACTCTCCGATCTCGTCCGTCTTGTTGTGGCGCCACAAGATTGTTTGGAGACGGCAGTCCTCAGGATGTACGAGGATTTGGCGGTACATCTTCTCGATGTCGGTGACGAAGACGTACCGGTGCCAACGCCATCGCAACAACACGTCGGTGAGCGCTGGCAGAAGGTTTGCCCCAGTCAGCAGCTGCGAGTTGAGCGAAGTACCGGCCCGTGTGCGCTGAGAGCCGTTGAACACGACTCGGAGCTTTGTCGTCGTGCTCGATTCCTTCAGGACCCCGTGATGCGGTAAGTAGCATCTGAAATTCTCCGTTGTTGTTGAGGTATTTACCTTCTTCATGTGTTGCAGGTCCTCGTATTCCTGCATGAAGCCGTGATAGAGTTCGCCAAATCGAAGATCTCGGCTGCCCTTGGTCTCCATGGCCTTCAGTAGGCGCTCCGCTGGGCGGCGAGTATCCTGAAGAGTCGTCGGCGGCGATGAGAAGGGCAGCCTCACCATGTATCTCCCGGTGGGCGTGCGCGTGACGGTGCGCACGTAGAGTTCCTCGCACTTGGTCTCGTCGGGAGTGAGTGAAGCCCGAGTTATCGGTCCGCTCTCCTGCTCCCAGAAGCGTCGAACGAAGTCGGCGAGGTCATGATCGGCGGTGCACCGGAAGGTGCGGCGATGTCCCGTGACTGCTGCTGCGTCGTAGCCGCCAGAGAGGATCCATCCCAGGCTGGTTTGCTGAGCGATCGGCATCCTTGATTCACCCTTGCGGAGGCCTTCCTCGAGGATCAAGGAATAGACCTCGGCTCCCAGTAGCAGCTCAGCTGGGTCGTCGTCTAAGAAGCGAGGATCGGCCAGTTGGAGTCCGTTGAGATGAGGCCAGCTGCGTTCTTCCCGCGAAACCGAGCCTTGCTGCAGCGATATGCGGGGCAGCACAAAGGCCACCACGCTGAGTTTGGCGTTGGTCACGTCTGACGTTACGTGCAGCGTGACCTTGCCACGAGCGGATCCCGAGCGAGTCCCTCCGATGCCGAAAATGGAGAGGCCCGTTGAGGCTCGAGGAAGGCGAAGACGTTGTGCCAAGGTCTCCGAAATGATCGACACCTCAGAACATTGGTCGATCAACGCGCGTACGGCTTGTGGTGATCCGTACCGATCGGCGACGTTTATTCGTGCTGTTGCAAGAAGAACGGCCTTGCACTCTGGATTTTGCAGCGTAGCGGTCAGTGTGGTGGCGCGTGTGGCTTCAGTTGACGCTGACGATGTGGGTGCTCCGTGTAACATCGTGTGGTGTCGTGCGTCGCATGTCAGACAGTTCTTCTTTGACTGGCAGCGAGAGAGAAAATGGTTGCCTAAGCAATTGTAACAGAGCCTGTTACTCTCGACAAATGCCTTGCGGTCGTTGACAGTCTTGGCCTTGAAATCTCGGCAGGTCATCAAGGTGTGCTTCTCGCGACACAGGGCACAGTGCGGCGACTCGGTTCCTTGGTGCTTCGTGACGTGTGCCTTGGCTACCCGTGGAGCATCTCCGGGCGGTTTGCTGGCGCTCTTCGGTCGTGCGGCATTGAGCGTCAGGATCCGACGGCTGATGAAGTCCACAAGTGCTTCGTTTTGTGCCGGCTCTGATGAGTCTGACGTGGACGACTCCCACTCAAGACGTGTGCGTGCATCAAACAGCTCGGTGACCAGGAAGTTGAAGAGGTCCATTCCGTGGGTGTTGATTGGACGTCCGATGCTCTCCTGACCATTGACGGCGGCAGTCACGGCGTTGTGAATGCGTCTCAATTCTTCTGCGGTATCTCCCTTCATCTTCGGCACGGCGATGAACGTGGCGAAGTTGGAGCGGATCAATTCCTTTTTGTTGTTGTAGTGTTTGTCCAGAATCGCCCAAGCGCGATCGTAATTGTCGCTGGTGACAGGCAATGACCTTATTAACCTTTCAGCTTGCCCCGTCAGACATGAGCGCAGGTGGTGAAAGCGCTCGATGTTGGAGATCGCATTGCCACTCACGACGGAGAGAAAGAGATCTCGGAACGACGGCCAATCGGCGTAGGCGCCAGAAAATGGCGGCACCTTGATACGCGGCAGTGATGACCTTGACGTGGCGTCGGCAGAAGGAGGTACGTTTGCTGCACGATAGTGTTCAGCGTAGCTGTCTAGTATGCTTCTTTGTGACACGTAGAGATTCTCCGTATCAGCATGCAACTCTGATTTAAAGTACTCGCTCTCACTGAACCTTTCCTTCAAGGCCGCACGGATAAGGTCATGCTGCGCCTCGAACTTTGTCCACAGCTGGTCCAGAATTCTGGTGCGTGTGGAGATAGCACTGGCGGTGATATTGGAGCTGCCCAGCTTCTTCAAGTACTCCACAGAACGTGAGATGCGGACTTGAAGCTCACGCTGACAGTCAACCAGCGTGGGTACATCCATGATGACTGCACACGAAACTGCACTACTGTCACTCCCGCGACAAGCCACGCTCGCGAACTTGCGGTTGCCGGTGCGACGTATCCGGCTCGAAGGACCAAAATATGTTCACGAACGCGCTGCGAGAGAAAGGATCGCGCTGCACGAAAGGATGAGTCACCTTTTTTGTAAAACAATGACTTTAATAATATCACACACGTATTGACAAAAATACTAAAACAAACTTATTACAAAACTTTAATTATTTTACAGTGAAATCGGAATCAAAATCAAAGTGCGGAATAGCGGCGGTCGTCAACGAATTTTTTGCGGTGTATCTGATAAGCGGTTTGCGATATGTTTTCACGACGGAAAAGCGATAAAGGCCCTGATTTCGGGTGCGAGCTCTCTTTTATGGGTTTCCGCAAAAAACCCACCTTTTCGGGAAGCGCCAATAATTTTGCGTCTTTTTAAAGTTGCGCGAGGTGACCTGAGCGTATTACGCGTAATTGGCCGCTGTCAAAATTGACAGAACAACGGCTGTTAGAAAGCATGCGCGAGCTGGCGATCACGATGATTATTGGCGAAACGAGGCGCCCGTGAGAAGCCGCGCATGCTCAACAAAATATAATTATTCGGCGGAGCGGTTGCGACACCGTTAATTGTTTATATTTCGAGCGTGTTTTTGTACGACAGGATAATTTATGTCGCGATATGTTTTCCAAAAAAAAAACATATAAAAACGATATGCCTGTTGACTTGCGATCGGAAGCGAATATTCTAGAATATTCTAATTAAGATATAATATTTTATTAAACATGTAGTTTTCTATTATGCGTTTCAAAAAGTAATGTTTTACAGATTTAACTTCTGCTTCCCACTTGCCTCCG